AAAACAGGGTAGTGCTGATTTTCATGGAGCTACACAGAGAACTTGGCCCGCTCCCATTAACATCAGCCTTCCTTATTCAGGCCATGAGTATGAAGGCATACAAAGAGCATCCCGTTGCATCCGCAAAGAACCTTGGAGGTGGTCAGGGTCTCTGCATTTCACACCCAGAAGCAGTCAAAGCAGTGTGGCCCTGTCACATTCAGGTCCCCTGCTTCATACCCCTGGGATCCCTGCATCCTTACGTTGTTTTCACAAACGTAAGAACTTGATTCTGTAAGATCCACGATGCCTACCCATGTAAGGAGTAGGGTTTTTCCGCCCGCTGCCGCTGGTCTTGTCCCACCACCGCGCCAGCCCCAATTAACACACTGAGACTCTGTATTTGATATAATTCTGTTGGCCCGTTACTAGTTTCTTATCGGCTAGCTCTGTCTTAACTATTAACCCATTTCTGTGTATTTCCACGTGGTTTCCTTACCGGGGAGTGGGGCAGGCGTCTGGTCTCCCCGGTCTCTCCATCTTCTTCCTCCTTACTACCTCCTCTCTCCTCCTTGTCTCCTAGTCCCTCCTACCTTCCTTTCCTATTGGCCAACAGTGCTTTATTATTAACCAGTATGAGAAACATATATACATAATGACATCTCCCTTCATCTCCTCTTTTCTGTCTAAATAAAAAGAAGGGTTTTAACCTTAACATAGCAAAATATATAACACAACAGTTATCAAGTAAGAATCACAGTTAACAATATTTAGTCCATTAGCATTTAGCAAGATTTAAGAATATATTGTGTCATCTATTCTATCTTTGTGTGTCTAAAGTCTAAGTAACTTATCTTTAATCCTAACTAAGGAAAACTATAACCATAACTATTTGTCTTCATCTCCCTCAGAGACCACAGAAGGATAGTATATAGACTCTAGAAATGGCAGAGACAACTCACTGCCTGTCCTGTCACCCGAAGTTCTTCTGTAATCTTCCATCTTCAGCCCATAGGCCATAGTGTGTCTGGCAGACTCTTCAGCAAAGCAGGAAACTTTAAACTGTCTTCTTGTATTGGCAGTTTGTCAGTCACTTTTCTCTGTGCCTGCAGACTGTCTGGCAGACTCTTCCATGAAGCAGGAACTCTGTAGCAATGTCCTTCTTGAATCAGCAGTCACTTTTGTGTGGGTCCTGCATGTCCAGTTTATACAGCATAAAGTCAAACAGTCCAGACAAGAGCAGTATCTTGTCCAAATGGCTAGTCTTGCCATATTAAAACCAAACTCCATAACGCGTTTCTTCAAAGTCCATCCTCCTTTCTGAGGCAGGTGGTATTGCCAGGAGCATTTATGTCTCACTGTCAAGAAAAACCCTAAACCATTTTAAATGCCATATTCTGTAGGTCGTTGAAAGGTTTGAAGAACGCCTATCTATCTCAAATACATCTCTGTATATCTAGAAAACCTAACTCACCTAGCTATAAGTTTTGACTATTATAGGTAACTATCTAAAATCTGTACTAAATTATACATTACATTTTTAAATGAGCTATATAAACACAATACCTAAACAAAAGGAGAACATACACATCACAAAATTGACCTTAAATTGTATCAATAAATGAAAATCCATTCCAAAACAAAGTATTCCCTTAAAGGAACCGTGCAAATATCTGCTTGTCTCTCGCAAAGCAGAGTCCAACTGAGAAAAATGCTGCTACCAAGAAACCTTGTTTTTCTTTGTTTCTAAAACCCTTTTTTAAGCTTTTGTTAAATTTTAAGTGGAAGTTCTTACTAGCCACATGGGTGCCATTTGTAAGGTATAGGGTTTTTCTGCCTGCCGCTGCTGGTCTTGTCCCACTACCATGCCAGCCCCAATTAACACACTGAGACTCTGTATTTGATATAATTCTGTTGGCCCGTTACTAGTTTCTTATCGGCTAGCTCTGTCTTAATTATTAACCCATTTCTGTGTATTTCCACGTGGTTTCCTTACCGGGGAGTGGGGCAGGCGTCTGGTCTCCCCGGTCTCTCCATCTTCTCCCTCCTTCCTACTTCCTCTCTCCTCCTTGTCTCCTAGTCCCTCCTACCTTCCTTTCCAATTGGCCAACAGTGCTTTATTCATTAACCAGTATGAGAAACATATACACAGAATGGCATCTCCCTTTATACCCAACTTAAAAGATTTACTGTCTCATAGTAGTTCAGAACGGGGTTATACTAGAGAGGACCGAAGCCCTTGATAGCCTGGGAGAAGTCGCCAAAAGCGTAGCTTTAAAGCAGAGGCCTTGCAGTTGAAAGAGAGAACAGGTACAGCTATGAGAAGACCCACAAACCTTCCCCAATGGGCACTTAGGCATTGTCGTGGTCAACAAGATATCCCACACCTGTCCTCATGAGAACAATGGGTACCAGGACCCTGACCCAAAGCCACTGAGCCAGAGCCCTGTGTCCCTTCCCATTATCTCAGATCTTGACCGGTCTTGCAAAGACTCCTCCGAGGCTGTGGCACCTTTGGAGCCTCCCTAGGGGAGTGATGAATAGTTGTCTGAATTGTTAGCTTACAGAGAAGCACATTTCCTTATGGCATTTTTGTTCATATCTTGTTTCATTTGATTCCTCTTCCCACGCTTCTACCCTGCATCTTCCTGCTGCCCCCATGCCCTCTGTCCCCTGTCCTTACTTCCCCTCTCATGTGTCATATGTTAAATGATTTCCCCTCACCACCCTTCCTCCCTTCGATCCCATTTTTCCCTTCTTGTGGCACTTTTTCTAGTTTCCTAGTCTTTATCCACATTTACACCCACCCAGATGCGTTGCTAGGATCTCAGATCCACAGGAGAGAGAATGCAGTGTTCGCCTTGCATTATATGTTTTAAAAAAACGCTTGTAAAAACAGCTTGAAGCTGAAGTGACCCTGAAACTGGTCAGTGTTTAAGGGAAATTCCACCCCCTCGTTTGTTTCTCAACAGAAAGCAGCTGCAGGGTGTCACTCAAGAGTGAGATGCTGGGTCCCTGGCCCATGTTGATATAAACCAAGGAGCACCATGAGTGACTCCTTGCACCAGAAAGACAGAAGGACAAATCCAGCTCACTTGGCCGCAGCTGGGAGCCTCTGGCTTTGGCCTTGAGGTTCCTCCCAGGAGACATCTTAGGGCACTTGTCCATGGCCATAGTGACTAGACCATAACAAATTCAGATCTGAGCTGCCTGCTCAGGAGCAGGGCCCCTTACCACTCATTGGGGTGACCCTGGGCCAGACTGAAAGGCCTTCCTCAATTATGGTGGATGTTACTGCCACCTGTCAGAAGGGTCTGGTGTGATATTTGCACGTAACTTACACATGTCCTTCCATGTACCTTAAGCCGTCTTGAGACTTATTATTATACTACCTCATACCATGCAAATGCTATGCAAAGTTGTTACACCATACTGCTTAGGGAATGGTGACAGAGAAAGAGGTCTGTCTATGAATGTTCAACACAGATACATTTTTTTTTCTGAATATTTCAAGCCCACGGTGGGTGGCACCTGTGGGTACAGAATGTACAGGCAGAACTGACAGACTCTGTTCATTGTTTTCTACTCAGCTTTAAAATTTTTAATTGAAATGCGGCTTGCATGCCAGTTTATACTAAACCCCTGTGGTTTTTAGAATAGTCTACATTCAGAATATTCCAGGATCTGTGAGTGGAGCCCATCTGTGTCCCTCGGCACTCTTCACCCACGATGGTCCCCTCTGACCTTCCACAGACAGGCTGGTTTCTCTCGTTGCGCGGTCTTCTAGTCACAAGCCTCCCCAAGCTGAAAAGCCCGGTTTGGCCTCACCTGTCCTTCAAAGGGAGATGCAAGGACTGTGCCGGACTCTGAATAGAAGTAGTCACTAGCGTCAGAAAGGGGAGGAGGGCGGAGGGCAGGAGTCACCCTGGAGATGAGGACTGAGCCAGCACTGGCTGAGGGTCTGACAGGCCCCTTCCGGCATGCTCTGTGCTTCAGGGGTCCCTGCTGCTGTACCCTGGTACAGTCTGGAATTCTCATGAGCTCTCTGCCATCAGCGCTCCACAGAAGATCTCAGAAAAGCTGACGGGGACATTCTCTCTCCTGAGAGCCGTCCCTGGTGACAAGTGGCCGAGGACAAGCAGTCACATAGACCCAAGTGTATGTGAGCTCATGGGGCCTGAATAGGCCCATGTGTGAAGCCTTCAGGTTTGGGCGTGTCTCATTCTCTCCTGGACTATTTCCTTTTCCTGCCATAGGAAATAAAACACGCCAAGTGCTCATCTTGGAGCCAGGGCCTTTGTCCTCCCCATCAGCAACGCCTATGTGGCTTGCTCCTTCGCAGGGCGCACAGTAGGAGTGTATTTGTAAAGCTGGGTAACAGACAGGAAAGATTGTCACCTTGATGGGCACAAGAATTTTCGCTTCATGCTGCATTTAAGTTGTCCTGTGTAGGAGTCACTGCACACAGTGAAATGATAGCACGTGTTGGAGGTGGCCAGCTAGAAAGAAAACATCGTCCACAGATAAGGGCTCTCTGTCCCCAGGAAAGGCCTGGGAGACAATGCCATCCTTCTTTCGCCCATCTTCTTTAAAATAGGAAGATGGTGGGCCCTACATAGGGGTCTTGATCCAGTGTTCACACTCAAGCGTGTCTGACTCCATGCCCATGGCAGCGTGGGAGGAGTCATGCTGGGGGAGTAGAGGAGACCCCAGGTTGGCTGTGGTGGTCCTATCTAGGGGAGCAGCCATCCCTGGTACTTCCCAAGTGGGCCGGCTGCCAGAATCCACTTTCTTTTCAGAGATGTTCTAGGTTACCGTCTCATGGAGATGCTGGGGATTCCACACCAACTCAGTGTGGAAAACACTGTGAGCACAGTACCATTATCTCTTCTGTTCTGTTCTTCCCCTCAGTGGGGATGAGCTGAGCAAGCAGGCTTCCTGTGCAGTTCAAGCTGTTCGGTCCAGTGTCCCCAATAGATCAACCAAAGGCCACCTCCGTCAGCAGAGTCTTCTCCCTGCAGGAGAGCACCTGGCCATACCTGTTTGGAGCGATCGTTGTCCCTGCCTTGGTCCAGCTGGCAAGCCTGCCATTTCTCCCTGAGAGCCCACGCTACCTCCTTCTTGAAAAGCATGACGAGGCAGAAGCCATGAAAGGTAGGGTCCTTTCCTTTCGTCGCACAGTGCCAGCCTGTGCCTGGGTCACAGCAAGGCGCTATGCTGAGGACCAAGAGGCCAGACAGGGCAAGCAGCAGCCTCTTTGCAAATGCTGGGTGCTGTGGGACAGTCACTCTCTTGTCCTCCCCGGCTGTGGACACTGGTCAGATAGCAGTGGCTCTGGAGTTTGAAGAAGGTGGCTGAAAAGGGCCTAAGAGGTCTGATTCCAGGAAGCAAGTGGGCTTGATGGAAGAACCGAGTCCTCCCGTGGGGACATGATACACCCTGATTTGGGGAAACTCCTCTCCTCCTGCCTAGCTAAGAGAGGGCCCTTGGGAAACTTGTCAATTACAAATAGTCAGAATGGGCAGTGTGGGATGCAGTGATACTAGAGCACAGTAGGAATGTGCGTGCGTGCGTGCGTGCATATGTGTGTGTGTGTGTGTGTGTGTGTGTGTGTGTGTGTGTGTGTTTAGTATATACATCTTAAACATGATAAATACTGCACCTCCGCCTGGTACAAAGAACAAAGCTGCTGGGATCCTGGCCTTGGTTGAAATAGGGTACTGAGATCTGCATTTCTGTCAATAACAGCACCAATTTCACACCATTTGTTCAGCAAACAATCGGTTTTTGACAGGCTGGGTGTTCTGTCAGGCAGTGGGAAAGACAGGAGAATGAAATGGCTTCCCTTCCCTACTGGAGTGACTGGAGTAGTCAGTTACAATGGCAGACATGTCGGAGTGTAGAGAGCCTAGGTAGTATGCTGCTTGCCGAGCCTGTGTGGAGCCTTGCATTCAATCTCCAGATCCCCAAATAAACAGAAGTCGGGGTGTGGTGGAGCATGCATGCGATCCCAATATTCTGAAGGTTGAGACAGGAGGATCCCCATGAGCTCAAGGCCAGTCTGGATTACAGAGTGAGAGCCTGTCTTTAAAGGAAAAAGAGGGGGAGACACCATCCATGAGTGGCATATCTGTACTGGGCACTGGCCTATATTAGCTCATTAAATCCTTGCAACTATAGGAAACCAATTGAACTTTAGTCCTGCTTTGAGACAAAGGCAAAGACAGAAACTGAACATCGGGTCACTTGGCCAATGACGCAGAGACACCAAAAAAAGAAATGGATGCACACTGCATTTTCTGCCTCCTTGCTTGACACTGTAAGAAATTCACTTTCCTAGTCTGTTGAAAATATTGGGGGGAAAGGTCTTGTAACAGTCAGCTCTTCCATAATACTGCGTGTAACAAATGCCTCAAAACTCATGACAACTGCATTTGTCATTGCTCATGCATCTGGAGAGCAGCTGTGTGTTCTGTTAACGTTATTGGCCTTGAATGTCTTCCTAGGGTAAACTGAGGTTCATTTACCCACTTGGTGCTTAGCGGCCTGACCAAGGTTGGCCTCACTCAGCTCTTCTCCAGTGTGGTTCATCCTCAAGCAAGCCAGCTCAGGGATATGCTCCTGGAGATCACCAGTCTCTGTAACAGAAAATGGGAAATGCATGCCTATTTCCAATATCCTAATCTGAAATCCCTCCCGTTGGTTAAAATCACATGACTAAGTTCAGAGTCAGTGGGCGGAGACTACACACTGAGAGGGCAAAGGACACAGGCATAGAAAGGCCATGAGTTGGGGCCGGCAATGTAGTAGGTCTCACAGGCTCCTTCAGACATTTCCACTCAGCCCCACTTCTGGCTCACGGTGGCCAGGGACCAAGTCCTAGCTCTTGGTCTTAGTTTTCTGTTGTTGTTTGAGACAGGGTTTCTCCGTGTAACAGCCCTGGCTGTCCTGGAACTCACTCTATAGATCAGGCTGGCTTCAAACTCACAGAGATCTGCCTGCCTCTGCCTCCCGAGTGCTGGGATTAACCACCACTGCCTGTCTTGGTCTCAGTTATTTAAGAGACACTGTCTGAGCCTGAAACTGGGGACACCAGTGTAAAAGGGCTCTCTTTTAGGCCACCGACCAGCTGCTAAACCATGACATGGAGACTTACTATTAGCTGTGAGTGCTCAGCCTTATCTTAGCTCTCACATTAACCTATTTCTCTTTATCTGGCTTTGCCTCTGGGCTTTTTACCTTTCTTTCTGTGTATCTTACTTTCTTGCTGTCTCAATGGTTGGCAGGCTGGCTGCGGGCTGTCTTCTGGCCTTGAGTGTGTCCCTCTCTTCCTCCCTTGTTCTCTCTCTCTCTCTCTCTCTCTCTCTCTTAATTTAGAAGCGCACTTATTTTATGTATCAGTCCCCCCTCAGTCCCCTCTCCCTCCCATCCTTCCATGCCCCCACCCACTCCCCAGGGATAATGGGGTTCTCTTTGTCCGTCTCTCTTTTGCTTGGATTTCTCCTCCTACTTATTTTCTCTGCCCATCAGCCCTGCCTATCCCTCTCCTGCTATGGGCCGTTCAGCTTTTCGTTAGACCAATCAGGTGCCTTAGGCAGACACAAAGTGAAACAAATACAATAGGTGTTTACATCATTAAACAAATGCAGCACTAACAAATGTAACACATCCTTACATTGTTAAAATAATATTCTTCAATGCAAGAGCCCAAGCCTGTCCCAAGAGAAAGAGTAGTTTATTAACTGAGTAAAATGAAACATCCTCATCTGAACCCTCACCACTTCCAGCCCAGAAGCTGACTGGGCCACCCAGGAAACTTCATTCCAGATGAGACACCAGCATGTTCTCCTCTTTCAAATTCTTTAGAACTAATGACTAGAGTATGGCCAAGAATATGGATGAGGTGAGAGCCGTGGGAGACTGCTTGCTTTCAAATTGCAGAAAGGGTGTGGAAAGTGTCCTGGGAGAGGCCTGGGGTGGACTACTTTTCAATGACATGGGTGAATGGACTGTTCTCCACAGGCTAATGTCTTTCTGAGATGAGCTGTCAACTACAGGTGGCGGAGACCACTTTTTCCCTGGAGTCAAAGGGTTAAAATGGAAGATGTCTGTTCTGTCCTCTCTGCCCCCTCAGAAACTGTTACTTCACCTGGTCCTGTAATCCACAGAGCCGACACATAGTCCCCTTGCCCATCCATCTTCCTGTTGCAGCCTGGGTCCACAGCACCTCTGAGGTTATCATCACCATGCCCCTGTGCTCTTCTGGGGGTGGAGAACTCAGTCGCCAGAGCCAGACCATCCTTAGACACGTGAGCAAGGAAGTTCCTGTGCCAGGCTGATACCCTCACATCAGAGCTCCTGCCTTGTTCTGACTAACCAAGGACAGCAAGTACCCTACCCATACCCAGCCTCTTCCATTCCCAAAGTTCATAGTGTTTCCAACAACTTCCAGAGACAGAAGCTGGAGGAAGTAATCTTCCTCTCGGGCTTCAGGTGGGAAAGCCGCAATCCCAGGCGACAGCCCTCTTCATGTTTCTGGGTACAGAGCAGTCCATGCTAAACTTAGCCAACGGAATTCACACGAATGAAAGGGATGGCAGGGGGCTGCAGGAGCAAAAGCTAGGAATGCAAGACAGCACTGAGAAAGTGAGGCTGGGGGGGGGGGAGAGAGAACAAAGGTTGAGATAGTTCAAAGTTTGGCCCCAAGTTCCTGTTAGAGACGAAAGGTTTGCATGCCCCTAAATTCATATATTGAAGTCCTACGCCACAGCATGATAGCATCCAGAAGCCAGGCTCTTGGGAGGTGATCAGATTAAATGTGTGTGTGTGGGGAGGGGGAAGAGACCAAGGACACTATTAGTGTCTTTAGAAGAGTGCTCATTCTCTCTGTCTCTGTATCTCTGTTTCTGTCTCTGTCTCTCTGACTCTCTCTCTCTCTCTCACACACACACACACCCATACACAGAATGGGTGGCCATATGTCAATCGATAGAACCAACTCAATGGCACCCTCTATTCAGACTTCAGCTGCAGACGGTGAGACAGTCTAAGCCCCAGCCTGGGCTATTCCTTCCAGAAGTTCATGTCAACCAAGACAGCTCCTAGGGACCATTTTTGATGCTCATAAGGAGACTTCAGGAGCACCTAGCCCCAGCGATGCTCCTAGCCTCATTTTCCAACAGTCCACTGCAATTGCCACCCAGCTGTGAGACAGTTGTGTGCACTCATGTGGGCAGACAATTCCCAGCTTCTAACACACCATACAGCCAGGAGCCCATCCAGCCCATGTACAGTGCACTGTGGATGTGTGGGGAGTTAATTCCCCTCAGATAAGCATTCAGCCTCCCTGTGGGGACATTCTGGGAGCTATCCCTGGAGGGCTTGCTCGGAAGTCCAGTGGGACCGACCTGTCTCTCCCAGGCAGGTCCCCCATGACATGTGTTATGCCGTTGGCCCTCTAGCTTTCACATCTGCAAACCCCTCACACAGATCCCCAGGCTGGGCTTTCAGGCAGCCAAGTCCCTTCCCGATTCTCACCTGCAGAATGACAACACTAGCCTAGTCACCTCAGGGGTCAGTCACAGGTGAACTAGATGAAGGCAAGAAGCCTGCAGAATATGGTGTGTGTCACACACACACACACACACACACACACACACACAGAGACAGAGAGAGAGAGAGAGAGAGAGAGAGAGAGAGAGAGAGAGAGAGCACTCTTGTCTCCTTTCTAAAGTCAACAAGCAGAAGCCAAATTGGTTTCATTCCTGACCCTGGCAGTAAGATAAACTCACAGACCCCTACAGAAGGAAGAGGCAAGGGAAGCTGCTGACCCAGCACATCTCATTTACTGCACAGCTCCATCCCCAGAACAAAGCATCTGGGGAAAGCAGAAACAGAGCCCGAAATTTCCATCTTCCCTGGTGTCAATCAAGCATCCTGGTGAAATAATCAAAGGAAGTTCACTTTTTATACAGACAAGTGCAACTTTGCAAAGCTCGCAGAACTCTGTCGGGTTATTTTAAAGCAGTAATGGAAAAAAAAACCTCTTTGCAAAATGCTGGGGGGGGGTCTTAATTCTCTCTCTCTGTCTGTCTGTCTCTGTCTCTCTGTCTCTCTTTGTCTCTCACTTGCACGCACGCACACACACACACACA